TGGTGTGCCGTACAGAATGGGCATGCAATCCTTTTATCTGATGGAAAGTTGCTAATTATTGCCTTGGCCCTGTGTATTTTGGTTTTACTAATTTTACAAACCCACATATACGTGCTGCTGTGTTTCATCCAGCAGTCTGAAGTTGCTCTTTTTCTATCAGATGTGTTTACACCACAGAAAAGGTGTGTTTTGTCAGTTTTGTTTGCCCTAGCCAGGTCTGAGCTGTATAACCAGCACTCACGCTGGATAGCCACTGGTCTGGCTGACCTTGGCACCATGACAGCTGTCGTATTTTCACATGCAGGAACTGTTCTTGAACAACTTCTCCAATGTATCAGGAACAAACAAGCTTTTCTTCAGCATCAGGAATGCAGCAGGTCTTCTTTCCAACTATTTTTTTTCCTCCTTCCACAGACATATTTATTGTGGCAATGGCAAGAAAATCCTACTGCTAAGCCTTCGTGTTTGAGTTCCTTTAAATTTCCTTCAGGGGAGTGACAGAAGAGCCAACGTAGATCATGTCAGAACTAGCTTTCTTTAATTTAACTCTTCAGTTTTTTTAATAAACATGAGTATTAATTTGTAGTGGCAAGAAAAGCAGGAAGGCAAAATCCTCTTACATCTTCATTACTTGGATTTCCATTTCTGCCATGGGTTTAATTTAAATCCCTGTGGTAGTGGCAAAGAGCGGGATGCTGCTGGGGAAGGTGTTGCACAAACCCAAAGGGTTTGGTGTGTGATAGAAAATGAGGCCAGCAGGGAGTGGCAGGGAGTATTTGAAACAAGTGGAGTGACCTCCAGCTGGTCTTGTGCTCACCAGATCCATCAGTGGAACACGGTGAATCAGAGGATGGATGGGGCAGGAGTGAGGGCAGAGCTGGTTTCAGGAGCTGGAATAACAGTAGGAACCAGGCCTGGGGTAGAGTTCCTCCCTAGCAGAGGGTGAGAGCACAGTCCTACTGGCACCAACATCTTTTTGGAAATGCAGCAGTTTTGTTAGGAAAAATCCCACTACTTCATCTCCAAAAAAAGAATTTCTATTGAATTGTGAGAAAAGAACATTCCTAACAACCAATAGCACATTTTTTAGGGCTTTTGCCTGGCCAAAAGAAGTTCACGTTAGTTTGGGGCCTGGTTCAGCCCAGGGGTTTGTATTTAACCAGAGGATGCACTTCCACACTGGACCTTGCAGTTACGCAGAGATTTGTAGTGCCTGCATGGCACAGATTAAAAATACAGCAATGTCACTACCTCAGCAGTTTTTGCAGCCTGCCCTGAGCAGCATCGTAGGACATCTGAATATAATCTAAAATTGTTTTCCCCCAAAGTTCCCTTCCTTACACTCCAGCCATGTCTCTGTGGGGTAAAGGTGACACATGGAATTCTCTGGTTTAATACCAATGCAAGTTTTTGTTCCTGGACCTGAGCTGACTTGCATGGAGCTGGATTATGTTTCTCTGCTCCACATGCACAAATGCTCTTCACACCAGGGATGGTAGTAGTCAGGAAGGGAGTCAGAAAATATGTTTTGGTTGATTCATGAAAAAACCCCCGAACCTTCAATGGTAGCAATAAGGATAATTGATGACTGGCTCCTGTGTGGCAGAAGAGCGGGTGTTCAGCAGTCACATAAGTTTGGAGAGAGACTTGAAGATTTTATTGACACTCCTGTGTTTTGCACATTTTTTTTTTCATCTTGGAAATGAATTTCAGACCCCAGTAGTGAGTATTAATGCTATATATCCTCTGTGGTTAGCATTAATAGTACACAGTCCTGCCAAATGCGGGGAAAGTTAGAACTGAAAAAAAAAAATAACCCACTGTGAAGAAGCTCGATGTGAGCAAATGGGGATGGAGGTTTATGCTTACAAAGCGCTCAGCTCTGTTGGCACTTCTCCTGGACCAGTGCTGTCAATCCAAATCTGAAATATTTGCAGAGTGAAGTGTTGCTAATGAGCAATGCTGGCAGGATGGGGCTTGAGGTGATGAAGGCACCTGAACAATCGGTTTAAAGCAGGAACCAGGAGCCTGGGCTGAGACCCATGAATCAAACTGCTCTGCTCTACTCTTCTCTTAATCTGCTCTCCTCCTCCTTGCTGCCAAGGTGGGGGTTCAGCAGCCAGGTGTGGTGCCAGCCCAGGAGCTGCTCAGCTCTTGCCTGGATGAGTGTGGGATGCTTTGTGTGGCTGGGGGGACTCCACCCCTGGTGTGTTCCCAAACAAAGTGCAGCCCCGTCGTTTGTTTTGTTTTTCAGTAGAATTAAAATATGGCACTTGGCAGAATGTGTTCTGTAAACTGGTGATTTTTTTTTGCTTAACATGCAGTGTGTGAACTTGGCTGTGTAAGCTTTGCGTTCCTCTGAAAATGCTGTTATTTTTGCAAGTTAATTTTTTTCTGGAGTTGGTTTAATTCAGAAGAAGTTTTGTTTGCTTGCTTTCTTGCCTGAGGTTTTTTGGTAGGTTTAAGCAGATGAGCTTCATTTCTTCTGCAGTTTATTTTGGTGAAACTTCTGTAGCCTTTGGGGGTTATAGCACAGTGCAAATGGAGTTAGACTGCGAAACTTTGTGTTAGAGTTTTGCAGACCTCAAAAAGCAAACTCTTGTATTTCAGAGTGACTTTCCAAGCCTTTGAGTTGACATGAATTCAGAGCTTGTAAGGGGAGGGAAGGCCCAGTGTTTCTCCACAGAGCTTCACAAAGAGTCCTCCATTTTTTTGGGGAACCCTTAATCAACCCACCAACCCTCATTGCCAGTTATTTGTGTGCTGTGCGAATACAAACCAGGAATTTTTAGTTATTTTTAACTTTTCCATGCCCCAGATCCCCTCAGGGCCTGGGGTGCTGCTCTGGGGCTGTGGCAGACCGGGTGGGCAGCTGCTGGACTCAGTCCTCGGCGAAGCGGCCAAAATCCCGCGGTAAGCCCAGGGCAGCGCCAGCTTCTCCCCAAAGAGTGAGTGGCTCTGAGAGGTTTTGCCACATAAGGGCCTGTTCGAGGCTGTAGGCACCAGCTGACAGAGATGTCTTTGCCTCTGAACAGATGGCCAGGCTTTTTATTTCAGCGAGCAATCTCGTGTGGAGGGGTGGTCTCCGAATCCTGCCAGGGTTTCGCGAGACAGGGCCAGCTTAGGGCAAGAGGGATCTGATGTCTGTGCCCTTCATAGCTCGTGAGCTAAGTGACGAGCTGTTGACAGGACAGCCATCATCTGAAGTGCAAGATCCCCAACTCTCCCCACTTTTCGTTTTTCTTTGGCGGAATTAATGCCCTATTTGCTTGTCTCTCAAAATCCATTCTGGCACAAGTACAAACCATTGCCTGGTGGCAAGCAGTTGTCTGGATCCGAGATGCCAAGATTTGTGCTGACAGCTCCTTCTACACAATCTGAGTCAGGCTGTCACAGCTGGCCATTAGCAGCTAAAAAGGCACATGTACAGCAAATAGCACCACCTTTCCATTATTGAATATCAGAACCTGCTTGATTGAGAAATGCAATGACTTGCACTGCTCTTTCCTTTAAACAAACATTGCCTCCAAACCCCTGCTGTGGATGTTTATTTTATGTGGATTGCTTGCTTTTATTTAGAAGCTCAGGTCTAGAAGAGACTTCCTGGGCCAGGAGATCTAGTCCTTGATAATCCCAAGCATCACATTTGATAATCCTCCTCATTACATTGCATTTCTTTAATGAAAACAGTCCCTCGTAGTTTCGGTTTATCGTTGCAGCTATTTGCCATGTACAATTTCCTTGACATAGAGGAACAAGCAGGAAAACTTGCCTTGTTGAAGGGCAGCATCACAACTAGAGCAGGGCAAAGAATGCTGCTCATCAAAAAGGGATTTTCTGAAGTTGTTTACCCTGCGGTGTTGCCTTTCTTGGTGACAATCTGTGCAAATTGTGCTGACCCAGCATTCAGCTTGGGTGCTAAAAGAGGGCTGCTTGCAAAAGTTAACATTCAGATTTCAAGTAAAACAGGATCAAACTGTTCCCTACTCCACTCCTGTATGTGGGAACAGGGCAGAGGAACATCTGCTTAGTCACTGATGGTTATTGCACGTGTAATGCCGCCCTGTCTGGTTACACTGGGCTTTAGCTTGCTGTAGGATTAAACTTTGCACGACTGAGCTTTAGTAGACCTTAGTCTGTAGTTTATCTTGGACAAAAGGCTGATAAACTTTGGCTTTCAGGGAGGAAGCCTGGAATCTCAGACCCACTATTATTCATTGACTTGTCTTTATGAGTTTATAGTCCACTGATGCATAACACTGAAGGAAATATTTTCAGTGAAATGTTTGCTTTTTTCTTTGGCTTCGTAAAAGGCAATGTCTTCTCTTAGAGATATATGTCAGGGTCATATAGCTACTTCAGTGAACTGTGTATGGTCAGGAAATAAACTGCATCAAAAACATTTCATTTTTCCATGAAGTCATTCCTTTGACCAAGCCTTTACCCTTCTCTCAGGGATTTGGGTTCCATTAACCACTGTATGAGCATTAATTTTATGGACAAACTTGGTTTAATCCTAGGAGGGAGATTTCAACTGTATGGAACATTTTCAGTATTTTTGTATTAAATCAAAACCTGTGGGTAACAGTGAACTTGTAAAACAAAGCCCCATTTATACCCAAGGGAATTTTCATGTCTAGCATTTTCTGTCCCTTTTTTGCAGTGCTGAAAAACGTGTCTGTTCCTCATTGCTCTGATGGCACAGCCAGCCTGGCGTGACAGAGGGACTGACTTTGCAATCTTCAATGGCTCTGACACAACAGAGCTATGAAATTAGTGTTTAAATTTTCAGGATGTGCTCACATGTTTTGCTAGATGGGGCCTATGCAAGCTCCACTCCCTCTTTGGATGGGCAGGGGGGTGATTTGTCTGAGTTGGGAATACTGATGTTAAGTCTTTGTTGGACCAAATGTGCAGATGTCATATTTATATTACTATCATATGTATACATACTACGCCCTATTTATAAGACATTAATGTTTGTTTCTCTTTCTCCATAGGTTCTTCTTGAAATTTTTCCTCAAATGTAACCAAAATTGCCTAAAAAATGCAGGAAACCCTCGAGACATGCGTCGATTCCAGGTCAGTCGGACACGCTTCCTCCTTTAAAAATCAGCAGCTGTTAGGACAGAAGTACTTTGACCCAAACTAACCTAATAATTCACTGGAAGATGCTAAAAGCATAAGGTCACAAAATAATGCCTGAGGACGTCTTGTCACAGCAGAATGGTCAGGAAGTAGTTGGGTTCTCTTGCTCTGGAAGAGAGAACTCTTGAAGATAATGTCATCTTAACCGGAAGGGAAAGCATGAAAAGGAAAAATCAAAATGACATCTCTGTTGTTTTCAGCGATGGGGCTCTCCTGCTCTGAGATATTTCTCTCTCCATGGGGAACTATTTGTTTTCATGCAGACACTAAGTGAGCACCTTGTTTATTGGCTGGGGCAGAGGAAGGTGTAAGAGCAATTAATAAAATCAGGCTTGTGACTACCTGTGTTACCCCTGAGCAGTGGTAAAGACTCATAAACATGCATTGATGGGTTGAAAGTCCATCCCTGTAGTGAGCACTTGGAAAAAGCAACCACTGGGTGTCTCTCTGTTGGGATGCTTTGGGCTGGTACTTCCCCACTGTTGCATCTTGTGGCACCGGGGCTTGGGAACTGAAATACCAACTCAGCTTCAGATGGCCAAGGACATCTTGTTATGCTCCACTTGTGTCACAACTCATTTTGGGATGAAGAACATCACTGTCTCTTGGGAAGGTGGTCTGTACATGCACTTCCCCAGTGCTGGCAGCACAGTGGAGTGGTGGCAATGCTGAGGAATAATTGTTCCAACACTTTTATTGAAGACATGCTCTTTGACTGTGGCAATAATGCTTTACTTGGGTATGTGCTGAATAAAAATATGGGATAGAAAGTCAAAGAACTTTGGTGGGAGGAGTGAATACAGCCCAAGGAGGCAACATGGTAGAATCTGTCTATGGGGCTTTACCTCAAGGTTCTGAAGAAGAAACAAGAGATTTGTCCATGGACCACATGGGTCTCTGGAGAAAGAGAACTCCAAAATATATCTGCTTTCTGTAGTTACTCAGGACCTTGTTTGCTTCTTTTCCAGCATTGTTGCACTTCAACACAAGTGTTGAATGCTATGTAAGTGACAATATTATTTATCTGTAGAATGTCTTTTGTTGAAATGTTTAATTGCAGCAGTGCTTCAAGGCAGAAGGATACTATTTGCCTCTGAGCAAGGAAGTGCAGAAGTGAGGAGATGTGGCCACAGGGATTAAATTAATCAGTGTAAAAGGCAGCATTGGCATGGCAGAGCCCTCAGCTTCTCACCCCACACTCCTCCCTCTGTCACGATTCTCCTGTGATTCCAGAGGGCATTATCAAGGAAAGAGAATGTGGGAAAAGGACTCACCAGCACGGGGATTTAGTCCGAGCAGCCACCCCTGGGGCCTGTCAGAGCTTGCTTCACAACATGTACACTCTGCTGGGGCTCTGCTCGCCCAGGCTCGAGGCTGATTTTCATATGGAAATGCCCGTGCGTGTCCCTCAGAACAGCAATCAGGAGCTGTGTCGGCGGGGAGGTAGGACACAGGAAAGGTTGTTGATCTCTTGACTTGTAAAGACATTCTGTCATACAAACCCAGCTTCACAGCAGTTGAGCTTTCCGTGTGTAAACAGAGACTGCTTAATTACACAGGTCATGTCAATTAGCGTGACCTCAGCTTAATTTTCAAGAAATTAATCACTTTCAGCCAAGTTAACCACTCCTACTCTCATACAGGGTGGCATTGAAGCGTTCTCTTCAGTGCCCAGGCTTATTGTTTTACAATAGCTGCTTTTGTTTCTTCCCTTTTTTTTTTTTTTTTTAAATTTTGAACTTGTTGGTCTTTAGCAATAGACTTCTTAAAATAAAACAGCTGGGATCTACAGAGTCCAAGCTTCATTTATCATTTCTTAGGGTGAAAAAAGACTGGGTGTACATGTAGTATCTCAATTCTATGGTGCTCCTGGGTGTTTGAGGCAGTGTTGTGTAGGAACCAAATTAAATCTGTGCCCCTGTGTTTGCTATCAGCTGCCTTTGAATTGTTGCCAGTGACTTACAAGGTCTCCAGTGGTGATGTCAAAGTTCTGGTTAAAAACCATAAGGATAAGGTGTTTCCAGATACTTTTAAATGGTACCATACTCATATTATACACACAAAAATGGAGACATTCCCTTCCTTCATTCCCCTACTTGTGCAGGACTTTGAAGCTGCCAGGAAATAGTTCCAACTTTTGGTCTGTCATTCGTCAGTCCCCAAAAGCTGCTGTAAGTTCTTAGAACACAGATTATGGTTTTGATGGGAGAATCAATGAAGGGTCAAGGATGTGAGTCCTGCACTATCTAAGGACCAGTCCTGTAGAAAATTTCCTTTCTTAGTAGATTTTAGAGTTGGTTTGGTCTTTTTTTCCCCATGCAGCATGGAATTGTCTGGTTATCACCTGAAAAAAGACATGTTAAGAAAGTAGAGGGAGGAGGCAGAGCATGTGTTGATTCAGGCTCACACTCAGAAATTAATTAGGAGGTTTTATCCTGAACTTTGCTTGCAAATGTAGGAGTGTGATAAGTCTAACATAAAAGCTGTTAGGGCCTGGAAGGAAATAAATTTCTCTGCATGTCTGAGATGTCCAGGATGTGACAAGTGGAGGGGTGTGGAGTGCCAGCAGAGTGTGTGTGCTGGAGCAGTGCTGGCCCTGGCTGTGTTTGTTGTGTCTCTATTAGCACAAGGAGACAGTCAGGGAGGAGAAGTCAAGTACTGCACAGTACTTCAGCTGTGCCTCACACTCCTGCTGGTCCTTGAGAAAATAATTTCATCTCCATGTTTCATCAGTCCAATTGCACAAAACATTTGGTGCTCTTGTGTATTATCACCTTTGCCCAATCTTGCCTTTTTATTCCAGAAACCCTCTGGAGCAGATACGCAGTCTGGTTGTGAATTCTTCATCACAATAAGGCATCATTCTTGGTGGAATGGGCTGTAGTGCCCCAGTTAGTGGTAATAATAATACTGCTACTAAGAAGATGGTGTCATGAGTGAACTCTGACTAGATTTGATTTTTTCAGAACTAAAAACGCATTCATACAACCTAAACAGTTTTGTATGTTATTGTAATTAATGAAACCCAGCTGCCCTAGCTGTCTTCTTGTTCTTGTTTTAGCAGAACTGCTTGTAAACTGACACATGTCAAGTTTTAATTTAGAGGAAACTTTTCAGGCTGTGTCACTGAATAAAACCCCAAACATTCACTTATTATGAAAACCTTGAAAGTCACTTAGAGATTGCCATACTGTTTGATTCTGTTACCACAGCCTCTCCTGCAGCAGAGGTTGCTCATTTGCCTCCATGGGATGCTGCCACTCATGTTTGAATTGAAGCCACTTGTGTCTTATTGCAAATTTGCATAAGAGACAGAGATGATGCTTCATGAATCCCAGATAATGGAATTTGGACATGCAAGGCTCCATCCCCAGAGAAGGCAAAGGACAAAAAAAAAAAAAAAAGAAAAAGAGACTGAAAAATAGCAGTGAGAGCTGTGGCCCAATTCAACAAGGTAATTAAGTGCCTGGCCTGTCCTTGAGCACGTGAGCAAAATTACTGAATGTATTGTACTTATGTGCTCTTAGTTAGGCACCTTTTGAAGTGTCTTGTTAAATGGAGAGTGATTTTTTGTTACTAGAATAAAGAAGTCAACACATTGTAGGAAGAGGTCACCAAGTGGTGATGAAAATAAAGATGTGCTCGAGCCATTTATAGCTTTCAGAAGAGTGGCAAGCACTGGAGTCACATATTTAACACTTAGGGCACACTTCAAACCTGGAAATCATCCTAGCCAGATTTTTTCTGCCTTTGCCACTGGGTATTGGGGATGTTGCAAAAATATCAGATCCCTCGCCATACATTGGAGAAAATTGAATGCAAAAGGAAAATGCTATGTCTTAATCAGTGAGCAAAGCTTAATGGGCTGTGGTTAAAAATCAGGAGTTGTGCAATGCTTAATTTTGATATATTAAGTGAGGTACTATACCAAATAAACAGGCCGAGTGCTAAACGTGGATAAATAGCTTGATCTCCAGGCTCCTGGTCTCTGAATATTTAAAGAAAAGAAAAAAATCTAAGCTCCAAAGTATTCACAAACTGAACTATTTAATGGCAGGCAGAATAATCCACAGAGCTGGGATACGTTATTGCATTCGATAGTGCCAATTTCATTGAAGAAATTTGTAAACCCATGTGTTTCTTTCATACCTCTGTCTCCCCTGGTGTTGATACAGGATTTAAATTCAAAATCTATGAAGGGCTAAAGCTAAAGCTCAAAATCATTTTCCGTGTTTGCCTGTCTCAAATTAAAACTGTGTTTTGTTGACAAAATTTGGAAAGGTTTGAGATTTGGCAGACCTGGTTGTCCCTGTGCTTACATTAATGTGTCAGCACCTCATTAATCATTTATTAAACTGTAGTGTGCCTTTCCCTCTTGCTACAGTCTGTGTTTTAGGATGCCTTGGTGCCCATTCCACATATACACTGGCTGTCCCCTCCCCCTAATTTTATGATTTCTCCACAAATTAGTTTTAGCATGTGCTTTAACTCAAACATATCCCAGTCGTTTCAAAATCAAAATGAGGAGAGTGTAGTATTTTTTTAGATTAAAAAATATGAGTAGAACTTGTAAGTATGTAAGTGCTCTGTAGCAATCCAAGGCAACTGTGGCACACAATATTCGAGGTACATTTTTTCACTCTTAATAATTAGAGGCATTAATATTTCCTTGGTGCAGTGCACATTTAACATTCCTCTATTAATGAGATTTTTCATTTAAAGAATTGAGCAGCAAGAGCCTGTTGCTTCTTACAGGTGTGCTATGAATAATCTTTTTTTTTTCCAAACAGACACATTAGAGGGGGTTTTTTCTGCATTTCCTGAGACTGGAAACAGTTTTACTTGGGGATTCCATTTATAGTTTCTGCTGCTAACGACACCAAAGAGCCACACCAATGTGGTCTCTTCATAGTAAATCAAACTGTTCAGGAGGGAGGTAGGAAGATAGTGCTAAGTAATTCAAAATATGTTGCATCAACAGTTTTGAAAATCTGAGGAGGGGGAAATTAAATGTAGCTTTACTCACATAAAACCTCAACAGGATTGTGTCCTCAAGTTCTTACCTAGAAAGCTGCGTACATAGCAACAGCTACACAGATACAGGATTTTCACAGGTTAATCTTACTGTTACTACTCTTGATTAATTATTTTTTCTGGAATCCCATTTATAAAAATGTTAAAAGTTTTGGTTTCAGCCCAGGATTGATCAGCTTCAGTGTGAAGTCTGTGTGTACCTGTAGGGTTTTGGAATTGGGGAAAATATTTTATCTTGTAGCCACTGTTATTAATTGTAATTTGGTTAATTTTCATATGCATCTAATCAGACTCATAGAAGAAGATAAGGAGCTGACATAAATCATGGAGCTGTGACAGGCAATGGCAACAATTTGGCTCAAAATCCCACTTGTGAAGAATTTACAGTGGTTGCAAGTGCACAAATAAGATTGCAAACCCCGAGCCACTTACTATAAGATCATATTTTATTGAAAATATCATAAACTTTATTCTACCCCTCAGGAATTCAATGGATAAATTACTTTTGAAATCCCTTTTGGAATTTTATATATAGGGCTTGGGTTTTTTTCTTTCCTTAGTTTGATTTCAGAAAAACTTATCTGTAGTATTTGGTGCTTTCTTTTTCCCAAATTTCCATCTGTAGGAGCTCTTGAATCATTTATTCTGTATTTTAATATCTTTCACTTAAAACACGCACAAAAGTCTATTGCTTGGAATGACATTCTGAGGGATGGGGTTAGGATCTTTTAGATGTAAAATATTCTCTTTTGTATTCCTCTTTTTGCAGAGGAAGACTTCAGGATCTGCTCTGGGCAGTTTAGTGGCTTTGCTTACTTTTTGAGTATTTTAATTGAGGACCAGAAATAGGTAGAATATTTTCCCTTTCGCTCTGTTTTTTTATTTTTTTTAGCTCCAATTCAAGTGATGAAATTGAATAGTTATAAGCGATCCTTTAAGTGTCCCCATTTGACCAACTTTGAGAGGCAGCAGCTTCCTGAGAGAGTTGAAGCAATGTTTGCCAATCCTTGTAAAGCATTTCACCTCTTCAGAGGCTAAAGCCTCTCAAAACCAAGAACAATTAAAGCGAGAGCCTTTCAGAGCGACTGGGGAATTCAGCAAAATAAATCAGAAATCCTCTGCCGTGGCTCTGGAGGCTTGCCTCATTATAAGAGCAGATCTATTAGCCCCCTTGCCATTGTCTTTCATTTCTCAAGTGAGGTGATTCTAATTAAATTAATCTGCATGTCAATCTATCGGTGATCAATCAAAAGGGCTGAGGTCCCCCTTTGCGGCACTGTGCTTGCGGCTGACAGGGGCTGATAATGGAGGAAGAAATAAACTGTCGAGCAAAGTTAATTAGTCAACATAATAGGTGGATTAAACAGGAGCTGCTGATTGCTGTTTCACATGTCGAAGCATGAGGTGGGAGCTGAAACTGCAATTAACAGACAATTATTATATTTGGTTGTAAGAGGTCGCATGAATAAACATATCTCTGTGGGTTTCAGTCTTTAATCCCTTTCCCTGTTTAATGTAAGGAGAAGTGTAGGTCATTTCTTCTTATTGTTTTAGTCAAAGTTCTCGAAGGCAACGCGTGCTCCTGGCAAACCAGCAGCCAGCTGAAGGCCAAATCTTTGGCTGGGGTAAAACCCTGGGAATGCCATCCCAAAAGGCTGTGGGAGGGGTGGCTGAAGGAAAACCAGAGAGGCTGAGACTGCTTGGATTGAATGGGGTAGGAGGAGACGTGGTGATGAGCTCACAGCTCTGCAAGGGACTTGTTTCACCATGACATTTCATGGCTCATGTGCCCTCTGCCTAGACAGGGATTTTCTTTTGGAGCCTGAGGGTTGAGAAGTCCCTCTAGACACCTTGGAGCAGCTGGGTCTTCTACTTGGGACCCATCACTTACCTGTTTGCCCCAGCTGGGTTGCTCCTCTCTTGCCCTGGGCAGCTCTGGGGGCCAGGAGTGTCTGATCCTTCCTCCAGTGCAGTCCTGCTGTGTCTCTCTCACCCTGCCTCAAATCAAATCCCAGGTGTTGACATTGAGATAAGTTGAGAAATACAAATAATTCTAACACTGGATGAATAGGGTTGTGTTCTCCAGATCAAGACCCCACTGTCAAGTGTGTGTGTGTGTGTGTGTACATAAACATGCCTATAGGTACTCCTTAAGATAGAGCTCGGGAGAAATTTGGGCAAGTCCAACAACCTGCAGTGACTGGGCTGAGGGGAGAGCAGCAGAGGAGGGTGGGGGCGAGGCAGGCAGCAACAACTCTTGTTACAACTTCACAAAATACACTTTTGTTTTCTTTTATTCTGAATCGATTCTCATTTGCAATGTCAACATCTCTATCTACTTCAGCGTGGAAACTGAAGGATAATTTAGGGTGAAACACAGCTGCCCTTGTATAGAGGGGAAAAATACTTAATAAAGATCCTCTTGTTAAAATGATGGTTAACAGTGTGCTGTCTGCCACGCAGCTACAAACTCTGCAATTTGACTTAAAACTGCATCAAAAGCTTTCGATGCCAAAGACCCACTCATCAATAGCGTCTCTTGTTAGATTTGTACAGCATAAGCACCAGTTATTATGTGAAATAGCTTTGCAATTTTCTACAGCTCCCAGCTGTTATTTATTTAACCGAGTTTATTACACTCCACGCTTTTTGAAAAACACACAGATTTCTCCAAGTTTTCCTCCATCTTGCTCTTGTGCTTGCAGGTCGTGGTGTCTACAACAGTCAATGTTGATGGCCATGTGCTGGCAGTGTCAGACAATATGTTTGTGCACAACAATTCCAAGCACGGGCGGAGAGCTCGAAGACTCGATCCCTCGGAAGGTACGCCTTCTTATCTGGAACATGGTAGGCAAATCATTTTCATTGGTTGGCATTGCTACTTTAAATGTGGATTTGTTTGGTTTGTGTCTCTGGCTGCTGGATTCAAAACTGGCCTGTAAGCGTTTATTATCTCTGGGGCCAGACATTTGAAAGGGACTGGCCTCAAGACCAAAGAGGGAATTTTTCAAGTAGGTCAACTCTAAATGTAGTGAAATGACAAACAAGTAAGCAAACATGGGTGCAGAGTTGTCCTGTGTGTCAGTGAAATGGGGTGATTTTTTTTTAAATGTTGGTTGCATTTATTCAGCACCCAAAATTGGAGTCTGACTTTTTCCTAGACTGTGCTGATTTTTGACTATTGTGCATCTAAAGGATATTGCATATTTTCTGAAGTGCTCAGCACCCAAATTTTGGATTGCATTTCTTCTATCTATAGGGTGCTGAGCTCTCTAGGAGATTCTTCTGTTCCTTTGAATTCCCTTAAATGAAAGCAGAGCCCTTTTGGAAATCCATCTGCTTACTTAAGCCATGGATGCATGTTCTTTTCTGGCTCCAGCTGTGCCAGCTGAGGATGTTGCTTTTCCCACAGCTGTTTGTCTCCCCTCCTTGCTCCAGGCTATTCTTCACCATGGACATGCCAGCTAGGATGGTTGTGTGCTTGCTCCCTGGTCTCCTCCAGGCCAATGAAGTTCATTTGAATTAAACCATTTAAATAATCACTCTTTGCCAATCTGGCTTGTTGCTGAAATGATTGAAGGAGAAATGGTGCCAGGCAGTTTGGCTTTTCTGAAAGTACAGTAAACTCCAGCAAGGGTGGGATGGGGCACGTGGCTGGAAGCAGCCTGGGGACAGTAATCTCTTCTGTAAGGTCAGCTGGTCCTGGAAGGGAACATCTGCTGGTGACTGTAGGTGCTTAAAATTGGAGTTGTTGAGTGCAAATGTACTTTGAAAAATCTGGATTTGATTAATGTTTTGTTTTGCTCTTTGTCCTCAAAGTTGATGACTACTGCTGAAAAACAAAACAAAAACAGAGGGCATTTCACTCCCCTCTCCCTGTTCCAGCTTGGTAGAATAGCTCTTTGTCTTCAAAGCTGTTTGTAATCCTAAATTCAATAGGTGCTTGCTCCCTCTAAGAGACGAGCTCCCATTGAAGTAGCTGAGTGTTGAAGGCACCAGTCCTTTATGCTGGTTTGTTTCACAAATATTTGCCGAGGATCTGATGAATAATTAAATAGATTTTTCCAAAGAGTTTGAAGAAACTAGATAAAATTTTCTCTGGGAAAGCAAATGCCACTCAGAGAAATGTTAACTAGATACGTTAAAAGAAATTATTAATGCTGAGAAATGGGAAAATGTGTGGGTTTCTACTGCTCAGTGGATTCCTGTGGAAATACTTTTCTATTCTGTTTATGCTTTCAGGCATCAGTCCTGCAAGCACTTATGCATATATTTAAGATTATGCTCACATATGGTCCTGTTGGGATCAATGAGGCTTCTTGTGTCAGAGAAGCTGAGGGTATTGATAAGTGTTTGCAGAATCGGGTCTGTAGTTCACACTTACTAACCTAAAATTCTTAGCTCAGCAGCGTTTCTCATTATATAAACATAACTTACATCTGTATTTATTTAGCTCTAACTTTTTATGTAGGCTACGAGCCATTTTCAGCCATAATTCATGTTATAGAATTTTTTTTTCATCCTGCCAACAACTTAATTTAATAAACAAACCACTGTCATAATTTTTACTGAAATTTATAAGGAATGTATGAACTCTGTCTTTATTAATTAGCAGAAGGCATTACAAAGGGAAACTTCTTTCTGTTCAACTTTGTAATCTTTCCATTAAGTCTAGTCTTAAAAAAACACTCCTATTTTTGTTCTTATATTCCTACTAAAGTATTTGTCATGTTTTTTCTTTTTCCCCCATTGCAGTCTTCTCAGTGCATGCTTTTGATTGAGGCAGTAATAAATAAATCTTCCATAAATGCCCTTATTCTCATGCATGGTGGTATCTCATTTTACCACAGATGTCATTCCCACTCCTACAACCTGAGGGGTTCTGTTGGCAAAAAAACAATGAAAAAAAGATAATTCTTTGCTTACGTAGCTGCACCCACCTGAGTTACTGTACTGATATTAAAAGTCAACATCTGCAAAACGTCTCCATGTGTACATTTTGTGGGAAAGGTGATTTTTCTAATCTCCTTTCTCAGGCACCTCTCAAGCAACCTCATAAAGAAACTGCTAGTAAATTCTTACTTTTGAATAGCTGCCTTCACACTACAAAATTGCTCTCTTCCCAGAGGCTTGGTGGAGCCTCTCTTTTTAACCTAAATCCTTCAGCCCAGCTCTCCAGGAATTCTCTGAACATGTGAGTCCAAGAAACAGGAAAAAAAAAAAAAAAAATCCAGTAACTGTTATGATGTAATTAGGTATCTAAACCACTTAACTAAATAAATAAAAAGAAAGAAAAAGGCTTAATGCTGTTGAATTTTGGACAAGACCCATTGGAACAGATGACAGTTTCCACCACTGAAATAATTTTTTGCTTTCACTTTGAGGCAAAAAACATACTAATTTTCTCCAATTTTTGCAATTTTTATTCTGGATAATATCAGAGGCAGTTTGTTTGCCTCTCCTCTCCCCAGGTTTTCTGCCTCCCTCGGGGAAGGACAGATTGACCTGAGCTGTATCCATGAGCAGGGAGATGGGACGGGAACGTAGTCATGGCTTGTCTCTGGTTCATTGCTCTGGTGAGCAACTGCTCATCACAGGTTTACAAACTCTGGGATCTGACTAGAATATACCCTTGACCAAATGTATTTCTGTGGACTTTTCCAGACATTTAACTTCTTAACACAAATATCTGATGGCAATAGATTTGAATGCCTGACTGTCAGGGCTGGGGAGAGGGGAGGCCGGGTGTAGAAAGGTGTGCTGGTTGTTGAATTTACTTAGACAATATCCAGTTTATCCTTACAATCTTGTGTTTGCTGCTCTGAAACACCAACTTACAGTTTATGTGACACCTAAAAGACACTTTGGGGACCAAAAATCTGTGAAGAAAGCTGCACCTCCTGAGCCACTCAGGAGCCTGGTGTCTCCACATTTGGATTTCACCGTCTCATTAGCAGGTAGTCTGGATTATTTTTGGGACATCCAACACATCTTTATTTATATCTTGCTTGTCAGACTTTTCACTCAGTAAAGTGAAGGTTCGTTTTTGTAGCTCCTTTCTCTGAATATAACCAGGACCCCAGATCCTGGTTTTGTGTCCACACGCTGCCCCCTTGAAGCCAGTGGGTTAAGCAGCTCATCTTTCAAATAAATGTATCTATCTTTTAAAAGTAATAGCTGGCAGAGACCAATTATTATTTCATCCTTCTCTGTGTGGTATAAATAGGGTAAGCCACAGTAATCTGTGGTTTTCAATAATTATCACTTTTTCATTCACAAATAGTTGGATCCTCACTGGTTTTATATTTATGGTAAACCAGAAAGCTAGTGTGGTTGACCTTTCCAAATTATATATATAGTAAGATGTATAGTCAAGAGCCAACAGGCCCCAACTGTTGGATATATTTCAGCTTGTAGTTCATCCCAGGGTGTCAATTTTAAAAGCAAAATCTTCCCAATGAAATTTAAGTGATGAACTTATGGAAGGAGAGAGTCCTGGCAGCACTTGCAAAAATTCTTTTCAAGTTTACCAGCAATAAATCCACTGCAAAGTTTCCAGTTAAAACTCTCATATCATTGCAAAGCAAAAATTCTTTTTCTCCCCAAATCTTTTGAATGTCTTTACAAGAATGTAAAGCCAATTGCAGCATCACTTTCTCTATTGTTTTTCCTCACTGGCAGAATTCAATGCCCTCGAAAAATGATAGTCCCTGAGACCCTGTCAGTTTGCATGCTCTAACACTTTATTATCTAATGATCTAATATGCAACAAGGCAAAGAGGGGGTGCTTATCACCCTGACAGGATGCCTAAGAGAAGTGACTAAATTACTTTATGTACCATTAGCACTAGCTGCCAGGGTGAACTCACTTCGAGCATTTATGCAAATATTCCTGAATACATTCAAGTGGCCTTGTCAGGAAGACAACTGACAAGTAGCTTAAATGCTTGGGTTTTTAAAGGGACAGTTTTATTTCTTTTTTCTTTTCCTTCTTCCTCCATGGGAGAGCACTGAAGAATTAGGTGATGGTGAGGTTTGCTGATGATTTGGTTCTGAGTCAGCTCAACAACATCAGCAGATGAAAGATGCAGGGTAGAAATAGACACAAATTATTAGATGTGATATCAGAGCTTACAGGTGGAAGTGGAGATAACCATGATTTCCAAAGCAACATCCTGCTGTTATTTTAATATGAAATATGCATTAATCTCTGTGTGTTTATATCTAAAATAAGTCATTATGTAGCAAAACCATTACTACTGGTTGCCTTAAACGGGAAAGGATAGCGCAAGGCTGGGTTATTTGATCACTTTATTGTGCTACCTGAGACAGCCAAGCTTTTACAATGTTGTTTTAGCTCATGACAGCAGTGAGTGACTCCAACCGTTTGTCTGCAGGTGCAATACCTCCTACAAGAAATGAAAAGCAGTAGTGGCTGTGCCTCAGCTGCACATAACAGGTAGATTCTCTTGTCAGCAGTGGGGCATTTAAAGAGTTTTTCTTGCCAATCCTGCCCATCCTGGGCCATTTAAGAGTTCACAGTTACTGCACAATCAGAGATTTTCCACTGAGTCCTCAGATTTGAAAGCAAAAGTGATTGCTAGGCTGTGCCTTGGTGAATCAGGTATTTTCTGTTTGGATTATTAAAAAAAGGAAAAAATTCCCTCACCTTATAAAGGATTTTGAGAGGATAATATTTAAAATAAAGCTTTGACACGGACTGCCCTTAGGTCTCATTTCTAGTCTGCCTGTAACAGAAGGACAGACATTGGATACCATGAATTCAGTTGCACGTGGTGGGTGATTCCTGAAAGATGCTCAGACATCTGACTTAGTGACCTTCTTCT